TATTTTGGGGCGGGCCAGCGCTGCGCCAGCCCGCCCAAAGAGCTGGCGCCGCCGCGCGCGGCTGCAGAGGGCGCGGGGGAGGGGGGGGAGGAGGGGGCCGCCAGGGGTAGAGATTCGGACGGCGCGTCGGCAGTGCGAGTGCAGCCTCGATTGGCAAATTGGCAACTGTCCTGGCTTGGCCAATGCCCCTTGGCAGAATCGCGCCCCCGGGCGTCGAAGTCATCGGCCTAGGACGTCTGCGCAAGCGGTGCGAATTTATGAAACCCATGAGGAGTGTGACATCGAGCGCTTTGTCTTCAAGAGACGTGCTGCCAACGTTATCCTTCTTACGAATGTGAAGGCCATGCGCTTATTGTATCCCGGAGCGAACCCGCCGCCAGGGAGCGCGCTGGACTTGGCTTCGTTGCGGCGCCCTGGGCAAAGCATGCCGTCGTAGGGCATCTACAGCGCGGCGAGGGAATGGCGAGCCCGCGATTGTCAATTCCACGTGGCATCTTCACACTGGTGACAGCATGCGCGTACACAAGCAACGATGACTGTATATTCGGCGCGACTTCTTTTCCGAAGTGGGGCAATGCACCGCGAAGCGCGGGTTCCATGGGCCCGCCGTTTTGCTCGGGGGCTTCAGCGCGAGACTTTCGCGGACACGTCGCGGAGAAGGGCGCGTTGTCGGGGGGCACTCGTTCGAACACGCGCGCGATGTATGGGGTGCTTTCTCGAGCAGGGAACTGCTGGCGGAGATCTGCGCCGGCTTGGAATCCTGCGTTGCCAGTGCTTCATTTGATGTTGGGTCCATGACGCAAAGTAGCATGCGTCCTGTCTGGGCGTGCGCCCAATGTCGGCATCACCCTAACATACTTATACTATATGTGCTTCGCCCCCCCGGAGGCGACGCGCGCACCGAGAAATCTTATAGTATATGCGTCGTGGGGGGCGCTTTCTGGCCACACCGCTCGGGAAGCGATATACTACAAGATGGGTATACTATTTATTCGGGTCGGATGCGCGCCTCCAAGGAGGACATATAGTACTAGTATGTCTTTGTGCTTCCCACAATGGTCGAAACATGCCCGTGCAGTTCCGAACAGCTGTGCCGCGTCATTGTCGAGCGGAGGTGGCTGCCAAACATGGCGCGCGCATGGGGCGGCACGGGGCGCTCCTGCAGGTGCGCCATTTGATTCGGAGAGTGGATTTGGAAATCGACGTGCATGCATGCGGCGATCTCTCAACAACACCCCTGTATTGGATGACTGCTGCTTCTGCCGCCGGGAGGGGCAACAAATCGTGCCCCCCCGCCCTCACTTGAACGAAGGATTGCAAAAAAACCCCTTGATTCAGAGAGTGGATCTGGAAATCAACGCGCATGAGGCCAAGCTTCCACCGCGCGACCCAACATATAATTCGAACACTTACCAGGATAGGGGGGCGACGCGCAAGCGTCTAGTGCATGTGCGCTCACAGATGCCAGCATTCGTGGAGACATGAAACGGCTGCCTCCAAGCGATTCCGTCGACGTGAAAATCCGGGCCGAAGCCAAGAGTATGCTGTAATCAGCAACAAAGCCGTGGCAGTATTAGCTGCTAGCCCGCGTGAACCATGGATCGCATCACGGATAGTCCATCTGGTTGCACGCGGGAATGCCTGCATATTACGTGGTGGAGCCATTCAAGATGTGAAACTGCTCAACAAGAAATCCACATTTCCGCATGTACATAAGTACATGTTCGGACAACTTCTTTGGACATGGGGGATGGGGGATTTGATGTTATATACACATATTCTGTCAAGGACGACGGCCACAACGCGGAATAGTAGAAGAGGGGATCTTGTGGGCAAAGTTGACAAGGCGGACGCAGTAGCGGAATCTTCAGAAAAAAAGAGCAATTGAATATGTTTGGCGGACCAAATCATTTCCAATAGTGGAGACAGGCGGAGAGCATCTAGGCATCGACATTGGGTTGTTCAGCTTATAAGAAGTATGGCACACATTCAAAACCGTACGAACAATAAACAACAACAAGCTGCTAGAAGTGATGGCGTGCCACCGGATTTATGGCAAGCGTCGTTGGCTGCCGACGTAGCGCTGGATGTTATCTGGATTTCTGTAACACTTGCGGGCGGCAAAACCTACACCAACACAGTGGCGTGAAACATCGATTGTATTCGTATTCGCACAGGGCGACGCGTCCCCCCCTAGCAGTTGCAGGCCGACCTCATTGTTTGCAAGCTGGGTGGCAAATGGTGGCGAGCATGTTCTTGCAGTGCTTGAACCACGGATGCGTGGAACGCGCGTTCCAGGAATCGCAGTACGTTTTCCGACCAAAGCGTGGGACGTCCGCGCAATTTTCTTGGCCCGCCGCTCATCGACGCCACCCTGGTAAATCTGATGGGGGAAATGGGCGAAAGCGTTCGACATAATCAAACCGAAGTGAGGGAGGCTTGCGCTTCGCCAATTTCTGATTTCTGATATGACCAACATCATATACAGGGCTCGTAAGTTCATTGTCAGAGATGGCTGCGCCAGCACCCTGCAATATCTGGCCTCTGCCTCCTCCTCTTTACCTCGTCCTTCCTTTCCTCCTCTTCCTCCCTCCGCCTCCTCCCTCCCCCCCTCCCGCCCCTCCTCCTCCTCCTCCTCCTCCTCCTCCTCCTCCTCCTCCTCCCCTCCCCTTGCTCTTCCTCCTCCTCCCCATCCCCGCTCCTCCTCCTCCTCCTCCTCCTCCTCCTCCTCCCCCATGGATCGCGCCGCGGAGCGACGCCAGAGCCGGCCGTGTCCCCTTCCCCCTCTTTCCTTCGGCGGCACGGGGGCAAAAGTGGGGAGCGCCCGCGGTCGTCGTCGTCGTCGTCGTCGTCGTCGTCGTCGTCGTCGTTGAAACCCGCATCAGAACAGACTCAGTGGTGGATTTTTTGCTGTGTTTAGGACCCCTGGGACCGTCTAGGCCTGCTGCCAGGAGGCAAACTGCGCAGGAGGGAGAAGAGGGAATGAGGGGGGCGGAGGAAGGGAGGATGGTGGTGCATGTTGCTTCCGCCCCGGATCCTGACCCCTGGCGGTCCTCGGAGGTCTCTGGCTGGAGGCTCCCAGATTCCCGGGGAGTCTCCGAGCGTGAGGGAGCATGCGACATAACAAATCGTGCATCAAAAATCCGGGCGCCTCGACGCTGGAGGGTTTAGCGCAGACCTTCGCAGAGGAGGGAGGAGGGGGGAGGAGGAGGGCTTCTTTGGACATCCACGGCCAAGGACCCCTACATATATGTATATGTATATGTATATTTATATAAGTATATGTGTGTATATATATGTATGTCTATATATGGCAAAAAGAAAGAGAGGTTCGGCTGAGACCCTTTCCCTCGTCGGGCGGACACTTTTGCTAAACCTTCTCCAGTGAGGGAGGAGGAGGGAGGAGGAGGGAGGACGAGCAGGAGGAGGAGGAGGAAGAGGAGGAGGAGGAGGACGAGGAGGAGGAGGAAAAGGGATGGGGGCAGGGTTGAGGGAGGAGGGAAAAGGGCGGAGGGCGCTGAAAGGAGGAGGATGAGGAGAAGGATGAGGAGGAGGAGGAGGAGGAGGATCGGGGGGAGGGGGAGGAGGAGGAGGAGGAGGAGGAGGAGGAGGAGGAGGAGGAGGAGGAGGAGGAGGAGGAGGAGGAGGAAGAGAGGGAGGATTAGTTAAACGAGGAGGAGGATGAGGAGGAAGAGGAGGATGATGAAGGGGGCAGGAGAAATATGATGATGATGCTGATGATGCTGATTATGATTATCGATGATGACGATGGTGACGCTGATTATGATGATGCTGCTGATGATTATTGATGATGGCGATGATGATGATGCTGCTGATGATGATGCTGATTATGATTATGATTATGATGATGATGATGATGTTGTTGTTGATGATGATGATGCTGCTGTTGCTGCTGCTGCTGATGATGATGATGCTGATGATGATGATGATGATGATGATAGTGGTGGTGGTGGTGGTGATGATGATGATGATGATGATGATGATGGTGGTGATGATGATGAGGATGAGGAGGAGGAGGAGCAGGAGAAGGAGGAGGAGCAGGAGGAGGAGGAGGAGTTGGAGGAGGGAGGAGGCAGCCAGGCACCTCGGCGACGAGGCCTCCGCCTTCCTGGCCGAGCGCCTGCCGCTGCACGTGGCGGCGGCTGGCCCGCTCTCGCGCGAGGCAGGCTCTCGGGGGCGTTTTGGGCGACGACGACGACGGCGGCGACGACGACGACGACGGCGACGACGACGTTGACGACGACGCCGACGACGGCGGCGACGACGACGACGACGTTGCCAACGACGGCGACATTGCCGGCCGCGGCGATGACGACTTTGCCATTTCCGCCGAAAGGTCCGACGGTATTGGCGGCGTCGTCTCCGCAGCCGACGGCGATGGCATTGACGACGCTGACGAAGGCATTGCCGACGGCGGTGCCGACGGCGACGGCGTCGGCAGTTGGCAGCGGGCGGCATGCGGCGCATCCATCCTTTGCGACGTGGGACCCCCTGCAGACCGAGAACAGGTGAAAGTCATGAAGCCCGTAGATGACGAATCCTCCTCCTCCTCCTCACTTCTCCTCCTCCTCCTCCTCCTCCTCCTCCTCCTCCTCCTCCTCCTCCTCCTCCTCCTCCTCCTCTTGCTTGCTTCCGTAGCCATTTTGGCTCAAGTTCGAAACGCTTCCCTGGCGCTTCGAGCTTGGTCGCTGCCGAGGGGTCGGCTCAGGGCGGCCTTCTTGCGAGGTCAGGCCTCGCGGCACGTGAGCTTCAGTGCCCGTGCCTTCCGCTCGCATTTTGCGGCACCTCCGATCTGTTTGCTGCACAGTCTTTCCCAGCAGCACTCCTGTCGCCCCTGTCGCGATGGCCCTTTCTGGCGCGGCTGCGGAGGCCGCTTCCCAGGATGAAGATCGCCTCTTGGACGCTGGGGGCGGCGACTGTGGGGCGGTCCCCGTCGACGGCTACAATGGCAAACGCAAGGCTGACTCGCTGGTGGACCTGATCACTCTGGGATCCGACGAAGAAATGGACGGGGAGGCCGCGCCGTCCGCCCAACCTGGATGGCTGAAGGCGCTCATCCTTCCCATGAATCGAGTCAGCGCTTCGGTCGGCACGATGCAGCAGCAGTTGGCTGACCACGACCTCAAGTTCGAGACTATGCAGCGCCAATACGATTCCATCCACACTGATATTCAATCATCAGTCGACAAGGCTCTCGACACCGTCTTGGACGCTAAGAGTCGAGCCAAGTTCGACGAGCTCGACCGCAAGTTTCAGTTGGCTTCCACGGCGGCCTCTTCTGTTGGTGGTAGCTCAGTGGCGGGAGGTTCTGGCAGCTCCCCTAATCGTGAAGCTGATGGGCGCCCGCGCACGACACAGACAGCTGGCGACAAAACAAAGGTGTGTATTGGCGGCTTTAAGAGACCCATGCTGGCCCGTGTCCTGCAACGGCACTCCGACTGGGTCAAGCAGCAGTTCCCGCTCGACACGACCAAGAACGCCACGGTCCACGCCTCTAACTTTTCGCAGTCGTACAATTTCAAGTTTCCAGATGAGGATGAGGCTAAGAAGTTCCTTGATGATGCCAGGACCAGGGGGCTCTTCTACCAGGACACGAAGCTCGGACAGGTCGAGCTGAGGGTCAGGCTCGACGCCCCGCCGTTCGTTCGTGCGCGGCACAAAGTGCTCGGTCAAGTCTGGCAGAGGGTCGTTGAGCACTGGAAGTCTCACAATGTCGACTTTCGCGGCCAACATTGGCAGATCGGCTGCAACGGCTTCCGTGGCTTCTTGTTTGTCACGGTCAAAGACGACATCTTCGTGCTAGCCCGCATTCAGGAGCTCGACCACGACCAGTGGGTTCTCGAGTCCGAGCCCAGCCACCTCTCGCAGTTCCAGATCCCCGAGGCGAGTATGACGGAGTGGTGCAAGGCAGTTGGCCCTCGTAGCTCGCTGTGACACGCTACAACGCAGGACAGTCAGCACGACCTGAGTGAGGGTATTCTTTGGGAGCATTCTATGCGAGCAGCCCGACTCTCTGGGGCGCAGCGTACTTGCCGCGGGACCTCGGCGTGCGTTTCAAGTCGTGGGCTGAAGCGCCCACGCTCTTCGCGAATTCGATCACTCAGCAGCAGTACTTCCAGCTCTTCTTCGGCTTCCTTTTCCTCCTCTTCCTCTGGCAGTTCCAGGTCGTCATCATCCTCCAGCTCGTCGCCTTCGCCTACGCCGGGTGGCCCGAGTCCGGTGGCAGCGCAGCAGTTGCCTTTTCGGCCTCGTGACAAGTTTTCTATCGTGTCCTGGAACGCCCAGTCCCTGTTCGGCTCGCAGTGGTCCTCGCCGCAGTTACTGAGAAAGCAAGCGCATCGGTTTCTACATCTCGTCTCTCGCCTCTCCATCGTCTGCATTCAAGAAGCCCGTGGCAGTCCACATGATCTACGTCAAATTCTGAAAGAAACGGTTGATGGCTTTGGGTATGGCACGTTTTGCGACGTTCCTCATTCTGAAGCTGAAACTGCCCCCGCTGGCGGTTGCATCATCATGGTTCATCCCAGTCTTCGCGCCCAATTTAACCATGTCTCTCATCATGTGCTGGTCCCTGGGCGAGCTCATATGATAAAATGTACGGGCAATTATGGTGCGATGCATGTCTTCAATATGCATATGCAGCCTGAGCAACACAGAGCAGAGCAAAACATATTTCCGGAGGCTAGTCAAAAGCAAGCTCGCCCCGCAGTCCCACGCCCTGAGCTTCATCACTGGTGACTTCAATTTCGTTGCGGAAGGGGGGGCGAGCGCTCATCTTTCTGGTCGTCGGGTATACACCTCGCACGCGATGGCCCAGTTCTTTTCCAGGCTGTTTCCGAGCATGTGTGAGATCGAGCAGCCGCATCCTATTCACCAGGTATTATCGCGCCAGGATATTCTCATCCCCGATCGGTCCGACCCCGTTCACGGTGTCGCTCATGTAGTGTCTGTCTCTCGGCTGGATCGTATATACACTAGTATGTACACCGCTCAGTTACTCGATTATGGTCTTCACGCCTTCGTGATAGGCAAAGCCTGTGAGAAGCAGCCCCTGTCCGACCACCTGCCCGTTGTTTTGTCCTTGTCTCCCAAGGTGCTTCGGAGAGTCCAGAGTATCCCGCGGTGGATTTCCAAACATCCCCTGTGCCCCATCATGTGCCAGGAGGTGTACGATGAGATTGGCATCGGCTCCTTGGACCCCTTTGAGGCTCTCGAGGAAGGTGAAGATATTCTACGCGCTGGAGCCCAGAAAGTCAAACGTGATCTTGAGTGAGCTGGAGCCACAAGCACCCCTGAGTTCATCTCGTGGGCCCTGGTGGCCATGCGCATCGTCAATCAGTTGCCCCACGATAGGACCCAAGTTGACCTGCTGGTACGAGCGCTTCGCGCTTACCCTAAGCTCAAGGAGTTCATTGAGTGCGACTCGCTTCTCTGGCTGGGCCTGGCTGGGTTCCACGCCCACCTCGCCTCCCCCAACATTCGGCTTCTCGAGGATCGGCTGCGAGAGGTTGAGGAGGAGGAGATCCCCGAGCCCCAGAAGCAACTCGAGAGGATCAAGATAGGTAGCTACATGTCGTCGTGGGGCTCGGTCAGGAGGCGTATTTCTCTCGCAGGTGTTTCTGATCCCTCGGGAGAACACATCACGGGCCCTGATGAGGTCTGTGCACATCTTGGGTGGTTCTGGGGCCGTGTGCATGCGCATGTTTCTCCTGATCCTGACGCTTGGCTCGAGCTTCGTCAATGCGTGCGCCCACTTCCTGATCACATTCAGTGGACACTCGAACGCGAAGAGTTCGCAACACTCATTTACAAGAAACGAGATGCTGCGCCAGCTCCTGATGGGTTGCTATTTTCTGCTATGACCCGTGCGGGGGATTTTGCGCACAACCTTCTGTATAACGTTTATCGCGAGCTTCAAGCAGGCAGGCTTTCGAACCCTCACTTTAACGAAGGCGACGCAGTCTTTTTAGCCAAAGGTTCCGAGCAATCTGATCGTGCTGGGCTTTCCCGTTCTCCTGACAAGACTCGGCCAATTACTTTGAGCAACAGTGATAACAAACTGATCTCGGCCGCCATCAATGCGCCTATGGGCTATGCTTGTCAACTATCCTGCGTGGACTTCCAGCGCGGCTTCGTCAATAATCGCTCCATGAGTCAGAACCTTGTGCAGCTGGAAGGTTATGTATTACACTGGCTGGTCCAGCATGGCTTCTTGGATGCGGGATTTATCTCGTTTGATTATGAGAGTGCTTTTCCCACATTGGCGCACGAGTATATCTTCTGGATTTTGGAAATGCTAGCAGTGCCCGCGCATATTAGGGCGAGTATCAAGCTGCTTTACCACAATGTTCGGGTATCAGTATCTTTTGGCGGCGCCTGTGGCGGACAATTTGCCGTGAATCGCGGCATTAAACAAGGATGCCCTTTATCGGGCAGTCTGTTTGCATTGGCGATCGACCCTATTCTTCGCATGCTTGCCGATCGTCTACCTGCGAGAGTCAATATCTTCGGCGCCTTCGCCGACGACCTTGGAGTGGGATGCGCTGATGTCTTCTCTACCCTCGCTGCCGCGCTGCCCATTTTGAACTTCGGCACGCGGGCGTCAGGTTTGAAGCTCAACCTCTGGAAGACAGTGGTCATACGAGTTATGAGCGCCAATGACGAGTACATTCATCAGAAGCTGCTTGATGCTGGATTCATGCCGTGGTCGTTTCGTGTCGTGCAGTCAGGGAAGTACCTTGGTATCATTCTTGGCCAGTCAGGCCACCTTGACAGCTGGATTGCGCCCACCACCAAGTGTATCAGTCGTGCACGGGCCATCAAGCACCTGTCCCTGGGGCTCGCTAAGAGCATCGTGCTGTTCAACTCGGTGGGTTTCTCTGTCTTATCGCACGTCATGCAGTACTATCGCCCGTCTCCTGAGGCCCTGCGTGCTGTTGACGCTGCTGTGCAAAATATCACACCTGCCCCGCGCAACGCTTTTTCGTCTGGCATGCTCACCGATTTAAGAAGCTTGTGGTTTCCCTGTGAGGTTCGGGACTTCCAGTGTGTTTCCCGCGCGGCCTTGTATAGGCTGGCCTGTACCACGCCTGCCTTTTTCGAAATTCGGGACCTCCTGGATGGTTTCAGCGATTCTGACGATTGTATCTATTTATGGCGCCTTCATTCTTGGTATAAGTCTAGTATGTTCTCGCACTTGCTTGATAATTATCTCGCTCTCACTGCCATCCCTCATGTGCCCCCTGTCGCGCTGTTCCGTATGCAAATGAAGACTGAGCGTATCCTCCGTCGGCGGCGGTCCGATCTGGCCGCCACTTGTTTAGCTAGCAGAGCTGAACACCACCTCGGTCGGCCGGGGACTATGCATGAATGCATGTTGCTTTCCATGGCGGTTCGCAGACTTGCCCAAGCCGCTCCTGCCTGTTTTGTTGCCAGTGTTTATCGTACCATTTGCAACGCCTGGACCACCTCGGCCAGGTTCCCAGGGCCTACTCGTGCGTGCCACTTCTGTAAAGTCAGAACTTGCCCTGATTCGCTCCGTCATTATCTAGAGTGTAGTTCCTTACAGTGCATCTATCCCTTATTGCCCCATCTGTCCGAGCGCTTTCTCATTGCCAGTGGCGCCCAGCGTGCCGCGTTCCATCCTCTTCTGCCTGCCTCAAAATCTGAACTGGTGTCTGCTGCTGTGTGCATTGATATCATCTGTTCTGCCTACCATGATAGCAAGGAATCCGCACTTCTCCAGAGGATCATCCCGTTGCGTCTCATGGCTTCAGCTCGCATCAAGAAGCTGATGCGACGCTGGCTTGGGCTTCAGGCGCTTCTCCGATGAGGCGCGTGGTGCTGGGACGTTCTTTCCTCCCCCCTTCTGCTCTTGTCCGCTTGCCCTCTTGTCCCTTGCTCGCGTCTTGTCCGCTCTCTCTTCTCTCGGCCCTGTGCTCTCCTCCTCCTCTTGCTCCTCACGTGATCTCTCACACGTTTCGCGGCCCCGCAGGGAGCTCCGCCGATGGACCAAGTGACAGGGGTCGCATGTGTCACCGCGACCAGGTCGGCACACCCATCACACCGCTCGTGTCCCAGTGGGGAGCTCCTCCGAAGGCCCCGGTTGGAGAGTTCCCCCCCCCACCCCGCCCATGTCGGCACGCCCTCACACATTTCGCGGCCGTCACCCGCAATGAGCCAGACAGCCAGCCAGCCCCAGGATCTATCCCTCTCGCGGCGCAGTGCTTTCGGGGAGAGGGTCACATCCTGCTTCATTCGCAGCTGCGCACGGTTAGGTCCTTCGCCGGGCTAATTTGGGCCGTTACGGTTCGCTGTCGCAGCCACGGCTCGTTCCGCATCGAAACCTTGGTCAGAATGTGCTCCTCTTGGAAAGGTCAGGTGGCCGATTCTGAGGGCCTTTCTTCTCCTCTCCTCTCCTCTCCTCTCCCGTTCCCGCCCGCCCCCACTGTCTCCCACCCTCACCCTTCTGCCTCCCCCCTCCCTTCCCCCCTCCCTTTACTCCCCCCACCCGTTCATTATCACAGCCCGGCTTTGCCCAGCACTTCTTCTGTGCAGGATGCCCGTTGGCGCTCCGTGCTCCGGGCCCGTCTTTCTGGGCGACCCCCAGCCCGTCAGACCGCCTCCGCTGCTCTGGGAGTTGTGTTTACCTCCCTACTCTATCCTTCTCTTTCCCGGATTTTCGGCCCAACGGGGGTGTGCGAAAAGGCTCTCCCAGATGGCCCCGCTACCTTCGTTTCCATCATGTATGACCTCGGACATCCTCTCTGTGGCATTTGTCCCTCCTCTTTTTCCTTCCTCCTCCTACGCCTTCTCTTCCTCCTCCTCGTCCGCCTCTTTGCATCACCGTCATCTGTACCTTTGCCGTTTTTGTTGTCATCACCATCACCTTAATTACCAGCAGCTTCAGCATCAGCACCAGCATCAGCGTCAGCATCTGGACCAGCAGCAGCATCAGCATCAGCACCAGCCTCAGTTTGACCACCATCATAATCACCATCATCATCATCATCATCATCATCATCCTCATCCTCATCCTCATCCTCATCCTTATCCTCATCATCCTCATCATGACCATCACCATCACCATCAGCGCCGTTATCGTCACCAGAATCATCACCATCATCACCAGCGCCATCATCATCATCATCATCACCATCATCACCGCCATCACCATCACCACCGCCATCATCATCATCATCATCATCATCATCATCACCATCACCATCACCATCACCATCACCGTCCTCATCATCACCATCACCATCACCATCATCACCATCGCCATCAGCACCATCATCGGCATCATCATCATCAACATCATCGTCAGCGTCATTGCCATCATTATCATCACCATCATCGCCCATCATCGTTACCTCCACCATCCTTATCTGTCTCATCACCAACATCATCGTCATCGGTATTCTTGTCACCGATAGCATCAGCATCATCATCCTTCCCCCCATTGTTGGTTGACTCGTACTCGCCTACCCGGCGAGGTTCCTCTTCCTCCTCTTGCTCCTTCTCCACGAATGTCGCCGAAGCGCGCCCTCGAGGCCTCCTACTCCTCCTCCTTCTCAATTTCTTTTCCTTTCAAAGAACTCCTCCCTGTCGTACCCCCAGACGTGTCGGCAGGGCGGGCTGGGCGTTTCGCTTGAGACTTCTCATCATTTGTGATCTTGAAGTGTGAACAGTTTTACGGATGGAGGGTGGGTGGTTTCTAACATATGGTTTTCGCTGTAGCGCCGCGAATGTTTGTAAGGTTGGAATGAATTTAAGGATGGAGGGCGGGTGGCTTTGCCGCACACATTCATGTCTAGAGCTTGCAGCAATGTCAATGCTGGAGGGCGGGTGGTTTTCAACATGTGGCTCTCGCCTTAGCGCCGCCGCGTGCATTCGTTGTAAATGTTTGCAACAGTTTCAGGGGTTCGTATGGCTGAAATCCCAAGAATGATGTTTTGGCGCGGTTTAGGGTTGTTAGGACGCAGTCTTCACGTGGATTTGCTGAATTGAAGTCCAAGGGATGGTGCTCGGGCACGGTTGAGGATTGCCAGGACGCAACAGGCACGTTCACTCGCGGCGGTGACGTCCCTGGAAGGGCGTTCTGGCGCGGCTAAGGGTTCTCATATGGTTGTCTTCCAGTGGGGCCCTACCCGCAATGACGGTGCGTTCTGGCAGGGGCCCATCGAGCGAGCACTATGGAGGGAGCATTTGTTGCAACATCGTGGGTGCGTGTTGGTTTTGCACCGGCCTTCCTCCTCCTCCCCTTCTCCTCCTCCCTCTCCTGCTCCTCCTGCTTCTCCTCCTCCTCCTCCTCCTGTGCTTCCTCCTCCTCCTCCTCCTCCTCCTCCTCCTCCTCGAGGACCGCCGCAGCGCGCCCTCGAGGCCTCCTCGCCCCCCCCCTCCCCCTTCTCCCCCCGAGGCGCTGGCCGCGGCCTTCGCGGCGTGCGACGAGGAGCTGCGGGGTGCGCTGCCCGGGGGCGCCGCCCCCGGGCACTGCCACACCTCTCGGCCTCCCCTCTCGACCTCGTGCTGGGGGGCGACAGGTGGGGGGGGACAGATAGCTGTACAGCCGGACCAAGGTATAAGATCGAGGTCGGTTCGGGGAGGGTACCCTAGTGGTCTTCGTGTTTGTTGGATGCTCTTGTGCATCCTGGGGAGGGTACCCTTGGATGTTCTGTGTGGTTGGGCTGGCGGAGGGTCTCAAGTTCTTGAGGGATGTTCTTCTGTCCTAGGTCCGACCGTACAGTCGAAGCGCTGTCATAGGGACCCCTAGATGCGGCAGAGGGAGACAATTCGTGGACACTCCCCCGCTCCCCCCAAAGTCGAAGCTGGCACGCGCGGGGAAGACTGCGGTCGAAGTGCAGCTCATTCAGCCCACCGCCAACGTTGATCATTGGGGGGGTATTTTCAGATGAATGCGGCATGAGTATTCGCTGATTTCTTCCGAGGCCTGTAGGTGGAGGGGGGACCGAGGGCTGTACAGTCGAAGGGCTGTCACAAGGAACCCTAAACAAGGACCGAGGCTTTTTTTCCATACGTTCAGCTTCGACATCACCTAGAAAACCCAAGGAACACTACCCAAGACAACCCGTAAAACAATTGAGGAACACGGATCCCCTCCTCAACGACAAGTGTCCCTCGAGGGGCCCCCGAACGGCAGCCGCGGGCCCACAGGGTTGAGAAGAGGTGCACGTTTCTTCCCCTCCCGTGCTTGGCCTTCTCCCGGCCCCTTTCCCCTTCCCCCTCGGCCGTCGCCCCGTCGTCCTCCCTCGCCCCCCCCTGCATGGTGGCACAATTCGCTTCACGCCTGCCCCGTTTCGCTCCGTTCGCCGGTGCAGTGACTCTGCCCAGCCGCCGGCGCAAAAAGTTTGGCCTCCGCCGCAGAGCAGGGGCCAGCAGCACGGGCTTCGCCCAGACCCCCGCGGGCTGTGACCGCGAGGTTTTCGGCCTCCAGCTTCTGGCCTCCAGGGGGGCCCTTGCCGGGCCCAGGGTCGGAGGGCACCAACTGTACACCAACACCGATCCTGGCCCAGGATCACCCTGGGCCCAGGATCGGTGTATATGCCTTCTTGCGCAAGGCAGGAGGGCGTATACACCGATCCTGGGCCCAGCGTGATCCTGGGCCAGGATCGGTGTTGGTGTATAGTTGGTGCCTTCCTACAGGGGCCGTCCAGGAAGGATTCGGGTCAAAAAGCAAGTCCCCAGGAACGGGTCGAGGCTTCCAGGGCCCCGCGCTGTGAAGCTATCTCGGCGACGGGCCCAACCAGATAAAGCCTCGAGTGTCGCGAGGCAAGCGAGAAGCAGGAGCAGGGACGAGCAAAATGACAGAACTGGCACGTATGTCCTGGTGGGGCGGCGCCATGCGAACCCTGCCATTGGGGCCTGCAGCGTTCCCTATGGTGCTACGAAGCGTGTGACGGGTGTGCCCAAATAGTTGCGGTCACGCATGCCGGCCCTGTCATCGACGCTTTCGGAGGAGCTCCTTATGGGGCTCCGAGGCGTGTGAGGGGGTGTGCCGACATGGGCGCGGTCACGCATGCGGGCCCTACCACTGGGGCTTTCGGAGGAGCTCCCTTTGGGGCTACGAGTCGTGTGGGAGGTTTGCCGACATGGGCGCGGTCCCGCATGCTGGCCGCCCTGCCACCGGGGCCTTCGGTGGAGCTCTTTGGTGGGCCACGAGACGTGTTAGGGGTGTGCCGACATGGGCGCGGTCACGCATGCTGGGCATGCCATTGGGGCCTTCGGTGAAGCTCCCTATGGGGCCGCAAGGCGTGTGAGGGGTGTGCCGACATCGGCGCGGTCACGCATGCGGCCCTACCACTGGGGTCTTCGGTGGAGCTCCCTATGGGGCCACGAACCGAAAATGTGTGAGGAGTGTGCCGAAGCAGAGACATGCGGAGGGCAGGCAGGGAAGGCAGAGGCAGGGATGGGAGGAGGTAGGGGGGAGGAGGAGGAGAGGAGAGGAGACGCGGGGCGCTGCTGATTCAAAACGTGGACCTGATACCACAGCATGGTTGGGACAAATCCTAAAGTCTGTGATTCTTACTGGAAAGCTTTCGCTGCATGGTTTTGTTGTCATGCTGCCAGGGCGCTTCCTATTTTCGTGTCGCAGGCCGCTGGCGCTGTGGGGTTCCGTCAGCGATTGTGTGACAAACTCGGGTGCCATTAGCGCTCCGCGTCCAGGAGGAGGAAGGTCAGGAGGAGGAGGAGCAGGAGGAGGAAGAGACATCTTTAATGAACAAAACATGTAATTGCCAAAGCATGCAATACCATAACTTAGTGTAGCAGTGTGTTGTGTAGCATCGTGTGTGTTCGTGCATGAGATGGTTTCGTATCAGTAGTGCGTCTAGTGTTAGCACTGCCAGGAAGGATGCGAATGCAAAAGCTGAGACTACTGCTAGGCCTCACGGCCCCGGCCGACCCCACGCGGTTCCTCAGCTGATTTTTCCGGCGACGGCCACAGTTGCAACCGAGTGAGCGGCGGCCGCTGCTGCCAAGGCGGCGGCGGCGGCGGCAGCGACAATGATGCAAGTTGCGGGGAGGATAATGGCAATGTGCATGGTTTTGGTAGCGGCTAGTAGCGGCTGTCGCAGCGGCGACAGCAGTACTGGTGGGTCGCGCAGCGGGCCGCTGGCCTCTTTACAGCGGTCGCCCGCACTTGCGGCCGAGGGGCTGGCGGAGTCGGCGGCCTCTGCTTGGCAGCCCACGACCACGTCAGAAACGTCTTGTACACCTCGATGCATCCGCACGCATTTTGCGGCCCACCAGCCGCGACGTACAGGACACAAGCGTACCCTTTCCTTTGGCAGGCTTGACCTTCTCATGTCAGCCCCCTTGCTGGTGAATCCTCGGTCCCTGTGCCTGCTCACCGCCTCGCAGGGCCGTCGTCGAAGTACCGACAATCTATTGGTCTCAGCCGCGCGACAGACCCGCTGTTGAGACACGTACAGATGGGCACGCATGTAGGAATGCACGCTCATGGAAGAAACGACTTGCAGCTGGCCTGCTGGGGTGCGCGTTGTGACTCCAGCTCTGCAGGCTCACTAGTTTCTCCTTCGCTGTTGACAATACTAATACCATCATTTCGCTGCAAAGTTCTTCATTCGACGCTCCTGCTTTCACCGGAATTGGTCCACCTCTTTTTTTTTTGCTCTTCCTCATCCTCAGATGTACATATCTCAACGTGTGTGTACAAACATGCGCACATACTTGTGTGCGTGTGTTTTATGGTGTTTTAGCCGACATTTGTCTTGCATGTGTCGGTATATTGCACAACACGAAAGTGTAAAACATGTGTACAGTCTAAGCATACCTACACGGGCCCATCTTGTATCTCATAGTTTGCACGTTTACTTTCACATATGCGTTAAAGGTTCCTGGCCCCGCACACTATCCAGTCATATGGATGTCTAACGTTTGTGTGTCTGCATTGCTAGTATGGTACATGTTCTCATGTTTTGTATGTAGATCCTACATGCATATACGTCTTTACATTTGAGGTGAGTGCTCATTTTTGCAGCACGCGTACGGAAGGTATACATGTGCCCAGGCTCTTATGTACATCATACAAAACATGTGTAGAGCACATACGTGCGTCCATGGTGCCCGTAGTAGGTCTGTCATAAAGAGTCCTTCAACATTCGAGCACATCGGCACATGCACACACACATATATATATATATACACATGTATACAGGTGTCTGCGGTGTTATATAGGTCGTGTGTACACATGCCCGTATACTGTGATGTACGTTCTGTACATGCTGGGCACATTTCTCTTTCTATGTTTATGAAGGTTTTCATTTTCATAATCAGATCAATACGGTACATGTACATGTAGTTCCATGTATTTGAAAGAGCGTGTTCTGCCGCTGCTGGCGGAAAACCGGGGGGGTCACTACCGGTTCGAACCCCTCCCCCCCCCCCCTCAGGAAAACCGGGGGGGGGCACTACCGGTTCGAACCCCTCCCCCCCCTTCCTCCCTTCGAAAACCGAGTGGGGGTGCGGACAGTGGTGGGGACGGTGTTGGTGGGGACAGTGGTGAGGGGACAGCGGGACAGTGGTGGGGACAGTGGGACAGTGGGACAGTGGTGGGGACGGTAGTGGTGGGGACAGTGGTGGGGACAATGGTGGGAACAGGGGGGGACAGTGGACAGTGGTGGGGACGGTGGTGGTGGGGACAATGGTGTGGGGACAGTGGGAATGAGGAGGAAACAGTGGGACAGTGGAGGGTACAGTGGTGGTGGGGACAGTGGTGAAGGCGGTGGCGAGGACGGCGGTGGGACAATGGGACGGAGGTACAGTGGGGACAGCGGTGGGGACAGTGGGGACAGTGGTGGAACAGTGGGACAGCTCAGTGGGACAGCGGAGGAGTCAGTGGGACAGTGGGGACAGTGGGGATAGTCGGGCAGTGGTTGTGGCCGTGGAGACAGTGGGGAGAGTGGAACCGTGGTGGGAACAGTGGTGGGGACAGTGGGGACAGTGCGACAGTGGTGGGGGCACTGGTGGGGACAGTAGGGACGGTGGTGGAACCAGTGGGGACAGTGGTGGTGAGGACAGTGGTGCTGGGAACAGCAGTGGGGGATGTGATGCGGACGGTGGTAGGGACCGGGAGTCGTTTGCTGGCGGTGCGTGGGGGGGGGGTTCGAACCGGTAGTGACCCCCCCCGGTTTTCCGGATCCGGAGGGGGGGGGGGGTAGGGGTTCGAACCGGTAGTGACCCCCCCCGGTTTTCGAGGGGGAGGGGGGGGGGGGGGGGGGGGAGGGGTTAGGGGAGGGGGGGGGGGTTTTGCCGGGGGGGGGGGGGAGGGGGGGGGGTCCAGCAGGGGGGGGGGGGTTTTTCGGTGGGGGGGGGGGCGATCCCCGGGTTCCGGAGGAAAAGGTTGGCAATTTTCCACAGTAGAGCGGCGGTGGATCACGCTCTCTCCAATTCTACATGCGTACATATATGACGTACATCTGTTACATGTTTAGATGTG